ATGATCCCAGGATCCTGGAATCGAGGCCTGCGTCGGGCTCTCTGCTCAGTGGGGAGCCTGCTTCTCCCTCTCCCTCTACTGCTCCCCCTGCTTGTGCGCGCTCTCTCTCTGTCAAATAAATAAACAAATAAGATCTTTAAAAAAGAAAAATTTTACTTGTAAGTGTCCTTGATAAAGCAGTAAAAATAATTTTATTAGCTTTCCACTCTTGAGTACATGTCTTTTTAATAATCAGAATGGCAAAATGGAAGTATAAACCAGTTCTGCAGCATATCAATAAAAAAAGTAACTGTCTCAAGGAAAAGCAACTGAGCTGCAAGCTAAACTAGCCAATTTTTTCATGAGATACTATTACTTTCTGAGCAGGCAACTGACAGGCAAACTTTGGTTATCTAGCAATGTTCTTCACAAAATGAATAGAGCCTGTTCCTTCAAAGAAAATAAGTGATAGTATTTGTTGTCAGTGATAAAATTCAAGCTTTTCAGCTAAAATCAAAATTCTGAAAAAGTGTATCTTCTGCGAGCTTGATACCTTCTTAATACTTAAGACTTTTCTGATGAGGGCACCAAGGTGGCTTAGTTGGTTAAGCACTCCCTTCAGCTCAGGTCATGATCCTGGAATCCTGGGATCGAGTCCCACATCAGGCTCCCTGCTCGTGGGAAGTCCGCTTCTCCTGAACCTCACCCCTCTCATGCTCTCTCTCTCTTATTCTCTCTCTCTCTCTCTCAAATAAACAAATAAAATCTTAAAAAAAAAAAAAAGACTTTCTGATGAATGACAGCGATATTCATGGGTGTGATTTTTTTACTTGTATAATGAACTGTGTCAAACATTTGGAAGATCTGCATAACTCAGTGACCAATATTTTCCAACTGACAAATTCATGATAATTCAAAACCATACATGGGTAAAAGATCCACTCAACGTACAAAATAAATGAATTTTTTATTTTGTCGCTAAGTACAAAAGTCATTAATACAAAAGTTCACTAATATAGTTTCAGATTCTACACTGCAACTGGCCTTTAAGGGAACTACAACATGTTGAGTTTGGGTATAGTATCAAAGAATATCCAATTACCCAAAGATATTAAAATACTTCTCTATTTTCCAACTACGTATCTCGGAGCCTGGACTTCTTTTTCAAATACTTCAACTAAAATGACACGCTGCAACACACTGAATGCTGATGCAGATGAGAATGCAGCTGTCTTCTATTAAGCCAGACGTTAAACAGATTCGCAAAAATGTAAAACCATGTTTGTCCTTCTCACTAAATCTTTTGTTTTGGGGCGTTTGGGTGGCTCAGTGGGTTGGAGCCTCTGTCTTTGGCTCAGGTCATGGTCCCGGGGTCCTGGGATCAAGCCCCGAATCAGGCTCTTTGCTCAGAGGGGAGCCTGCTTCCCTCTCTCTCTGCCTACCTCTCAGTGTACTTGTGATTTCTGTCTGTCAAATAAATAAATAAAATCTTTTTTTTTTTTAATCTTCTTTTTTTTTTTTTAAAGTAAGTTTTTCGGGGGGATGCCTGGGTGGCTCAGTTGGTTAAGCAGCTGCCTTCAGCTCAGGTCATGATCCCAGCGTCCTGGGATCGAGTCCCACATCGGGCTCCTTGCTTGGCAGGGAGCCTGCTTCTCCCTCTGCCTCTGCCTGCCACTCTGTCTGCCTGTGCTCGCTCTTGCTCCTCTCTCTCTGACAAATAAAAAGAAATAAAATCTTTTAAAAAAAAAGGAAAGTTTTTCGGGGCACCTGGGTGGCTCAGTTGGTTAAGCATCTACCTTTGACTCAGGTCATGATCCCAGCGTCCACACTGGGCTCTCTGCTCAGTTGGGAGCCTGCTTCTCCCTCTCCCTCTGTCTACTGCTCTGCCTACTTGTGCTCTCTCTGTCAAATATATAGGTAAAATCTTAAAAAAAAAAAAAAAAAAGAGGTTTAAAAAAAGGGTTTTTTTTTTTCCATTTAAAAAGTGTGTTTTATATATATTAATATGTAAGGAACTTACTATTTTTTAATGAATTAATAAATATTTAAATATTTTCCTAGTTTTAATATCCAATACAGTAAATACTGGCAAATATAACCCACATAAATAAAAGCTCTTTGGCGTCTATAATAATTTTTCAAAGAATTGAGAGGTCAGACATCAAAGTTTGCTAATTTAGAATTTCCCCTGCAGCTCTCATCCTTCAAGGCCCTCAGAGCTTAAAGTTAACCTGCTGTATTTGCTTATAGTGGAGAGCAAAGACTACACTCTTTCATAGGCACCCAATTAATGGTGTGTTAAAACAAGGCTAAATGTAATTTGATGCCTATGCCAAGTGCTCCACTATAAATACACATGGATAAAAAAAATTTCAAATTGGGGGCGCCTGGGTGGCTCAGTTGCCTTTGGCTCAGGTCATGATCTCAGGGTCCTGGGATCAAGCCCCTCATTGGGCTCTCTGCTCAGCAGGGAGCCTGCTTACCCCTCTCTCTCTCTGCCTACTTGTGATCTCTGTTTGTCAAATAAATAAATAAAATCTTAAAAACAAATAAACTGGGGCGCCTGGGTGGCTCAGTGGGTTAAGCCGCTGCCTTCGGCTCAGGTCATGATCTCAGGGTCCTGGGATCGAGTCCCGCATCGGGCTCTCTGCTTGGCAGGGAGCCTGCTTCCCTCCCTCTCTCTGCCTGCCTCTCTGTCTGCTTGTGATCTCTCTCTGTCAAATAAATAAATAAAATCTTTAAAAAAACAAATAAACTTTGCCCCTCTAAAAAAAAAAAAAAAAGTAAACTGCCTACATTCTTATTTTTTATGCCTATATTTCCAGAATGAAATTTTACACTATGTTTAAAAATTGCAAAAGTATACATTTTTAGCAATTTACCTTAACAATTTATTATTCCAAATATGGAAAATGACATATGTACAAGGTTATTCATGTAGCACTCTTTGTAATTGCCAAAGACTGGGGAAAAAAAGTCAAAATTCTCTTAAATAGAAGAATTATAAAATAAGCAGTACAAACATATCCTGTAATACTCTTTAGACATACTCAAGAATAAGGAAATTCTTGTACTTATAAGTTATACTGCTAAGTAAAAAAAGCAAGACATAGAACCATTTTTGTAAAATGGGAGAAACAGAATATATATATTTACATATATATTATATTTTATGCTTATAAGAACATGGGATGCAGGGCACCTGGGTGGCTCAGTCGGTTAAGCCTCTGCCTTCAGCTCAGGTCATGATCTCAGGGTCTTGGGTTAGAGCCCCGCATAGGGCTCCCTGCTTGGTGGGGAGGCTGCTTCTCTCTCTACCTCTGCTCCTCCCCCTGGCTCCTGCTCTCTCTCTCTCAAATAAACAAAAATCTCTAAAAAAATTTTTTTAAAGATTTATTTATTTGACAGACAGAGATCACAAGCAGGCAGAGAGGCAGGCAGAGAGGAGGAAGCAGGCTCCCTGCCGAGCAGACAGCCCAATGCTATGCTCAGCTCAATCCCAGGACCCTGAGATGATGACCTGAGCTGAAGGCAGAGGCTTTAACCCGCTGAGCCACCTAGGCACTCCCTAAAACTTTTTTTAAATTAAATTTTTAAAAAAAGGATACAGAATGCACAAAAACAGGTAATAAACTGGTAATATTAGTTGCCTCTGGAAAGAGGAACTGACCAGTTTGGGTTATAGGAACAAGAAGAAAACTTCACTCCGCTTTTTTCTATCCTCAGAATTTCGAACCATGTAAGTAAGTGTAATACCAATTTAAAAAGTAAATATAGGGGCGCCCGGGTGGCTCAGGGGGTTGAGCCTCTGCCTTCGGCTTGGGTCATGATCTCGGGGTCCTGGGATCGAGCCCCACATTGGGCTCTCTGCTCAGCAGGGAGCCTGCTTCCCCCTCTTTCTCTCTCTCTGCCTGCCTCTCTGCCTACTTGTGATCTCTGTCAAATAAATAAATAAAATCTTTAAAAAAAAAAAGGAAAAAAATTAAAAGTAAATATAAAAATATGTAAAAATCTTCATTTCACAGAAGGAATAACGTCTTATCTTTTTTTCCGCTAGCCTCAAAAAATATCGACCCCTAATTTTTAACTGTATATTCAGTGCTGCCTAAACTAAGTAACTATAATTGACATAAAAATAAAAGCTACCACTATGAAGCCTTTGAATTAATGTGTTAAGTGGTTAACTAGTGATTTGGGGGGAAGGTCAGAGTCTTCACCTTTTACCTTATATACTTCTGAATTATTTAAATTTCTTACAATGAGTACATACTACTTTTGTAATTTGAAAAACGTCAGGAAGACGTTATATTAAAAAATCTATAGTTCTGACTTTGAATTGGAAATACTAATTTAAATTTGTAAATATTTTTTTTAAAAAAAAAAAAAAAAAAAAAAAGCCACCTTCAGGCTCCTGGGTGGCTTAGTCATTAAGTGCCTGCCTTCGGCTCAGGTCCTGATCCCAATGTCCTGGCATCAAGTCCCACATCAGGCTCCCTGATCAGCAGGAAACCTGTTCTCCCTGTCCTGCTCCTCCTGCTTGTGTTCCCTCTCTTGTTGTGTCTTTCTCTGTCAAATAAATAAATAAAATCTTAAAACAAAAAACAAAAATCAAAAAAACCACCTTATTTCCTAGCCTTGTTCACTGAAAACAGAAAGAAACAATGACCAACCCATAAGCAATCAGTACCTCTTAGACACAGATTAGTCTCTAAACTTCATTTCCACAAAACAGAGAAGCTATCATAGCTAACAGGAGCACATCAAAATGACAATAGAGTCAAAAAAAAAAAAAAAAAAGGCTGGAGAAGCTCCCATTTGCAAGATGAGGCAATCAATGAAACATCAATACAGATAAAACTGAAACGGGCTGAAACACATAAATAGGATTAAATTGCATTTTATAACAACAATTAAAAAAAATACTTATCAGTCACCTTTGCAGGGTGTTAGTGAACAAAGTCATTATTTTGAAAACAGTAATAACTGTTAATTTAAAAGAAAGACTAAAGCATTTGTCTCACCTTTCCTGTGCAAGATGTACCTCACGGTAACCAAACAGATGATGGAGAGGATATCTCTTTATAAAAACATTCCAGCTAAAACAAATTAAGAAATGATTGAATTTGAGAATCACCATTTATAACACCTAATGAAGTTCAATGAAGTAAAGGAAATGTCAACAAGGATCATCAATGGCTGCTGATGTCACAAAATTAGACTACAGACATCATACACCTCCCCCTAATAGAAGCGCATTCTAAAGTATTCTAGCCAAAAACACTGAATCTGAACCTGGCCAAGTCTCTAGATTTAACTCCCAATTTGAAGGAAATGTTAAATGACACTACTATGTTAATCACCAAATCCATCTATGGGAAACTAATGAGCGGATGACTCAACCCTTCAACAAAATAAACTGCAAAGAAAAAAGGTTGGGGGCAGGCGGGAGAGGGGGAATCTTTCAGATTGAGACTTTAAAAATATAAGGACCAATTACAAAGTACAGACTTTATTTGGATCCTATTTTAAACATATACTCTGTTTTAAAAACTTATGATACAATCAAGAAAATAGGAACACCAGATATGTATTAAGAAATTGTTTATTATTTTAAATGTACAAATAGTATTAGTGTTGTTTTTAAAGCCCTTACTTTTTAGAAATATATACTGAAATATTTATGGATGAAATAATGTGTCACAGATCTGCTTCAAAACAATCAGGAAGCGGGGGTAGGAGCATAGACAAAACCATGTTAGCAATAAACTGACAACTGTATATGGGGGTTCATTTTACTATTTCCACTGCTTTTGGATGTTTGAAATTTTCCATAATAAAGTTCTTTAGAAAGCAAATCTCAGGGCACCTGGGTGGCTCAGTCAGTTAAACATCTAACTCTTGGTTTCTGCTCTAGTCATGGGTTGTGGGATTGAGCCCCAAATCAGGCTCCACACTCAGTGGGGAGTCTGCCTAAGGATTCTCTCCCTTTGCCCTTTCCTCCACTCTATCAAATAAGTCACCTTTTTTTAAAAAAAATATTTTTTTGAGAGAGTGGTGTGCATAAGCAGGGGGAGGGGTAAAGGGAGAGGGAGAGCAGGGAGCTGGATGTGGGGCTTGTTCCCAGAACCCTGAGATCATGACCCAAGCCGAAGGCAGATGCTTAACCAACTAAGCCACCCAGGAGCCCCTCAAATAAATCTTTAAAAAAATTTTTTTTAAATAAAAAACAAAATGCAAATCCCAAAAATACATATATATATATTTGAAATACAACCAGTGAAATGAATTTGGATAGTAATCTTCTATTGAACCCCAGTTCCATACCTACCTCTTTCCCTACCTTTCTATATTGGTTTCTCTCTTCCTTTCGTGTTTCTTTGTACTGAACAATTAGACTCAACTAAATTATACTGCATTCTGTTTACACTACAGAATCTAAAATCCATTATATCTACTGTTTTGATCATCAAATGTTCATGTTTTATCTCCCCGGCCAGCCAGTAAGGTCCTTTAACACAAAGAAAAAAATTTAGACTCCACAGCCCTAGAATGATGCTGAACATTCTAATAATCCTAAGTACCTTATGTGACACTTAAGTTGTCTCTGGAAAACCCTAGGACCTGTGGAAAAATGTAATATTCTTCTTTGTCAACCTAAGGGCCACTTTGTGGTAAAATTAAGTTTTTATTCTAGTAAAAGCACATAATATTTTCTTCAAATTTTACAGGGATCCCCTTTTGTGACATCAAAATGCTGTTTCTAGCAGGTTTAGGCAAGCTACTAAGCACAAGTTTTTCCTTCCAGAATTCAAATGGGCATATATTTACACTGCTTCAAAGAAACAAAATTATATTACTAGGAGTTTTTTTCTAAAATATTTTATTTATTTATTTATTTATTTGAGAAAGAGAGAGCACGTGTGAGAGAAAGCACGAGCAGAGGGAGAGGCAGAGGAAGAGGGATAAGCGGACTCCCCACCCAAGGGGAACCCCAACTCAGGCAATCCCAGGAACCTGGGATCATGACCTGAGCCAAAGGTAAACACTTAACCAACTGAGCCACCCAGTGGCTATATATTACTAGAACTAAATACAAATTTTGTTAGTTAAGTGATTTGTTAAATGAGCTGAAGTCATTTAATAAAACTTCAGCTGCAATATAAAAAGAGAGCTTACCCAAAACAATAGTCTCAAAGCCCAGGAAACAACTCACTACCTAACTGGAGACTAATCAAGACCGCTAGAAAATAGATCTGTTGGGGGTGCCTGGGTGGCTCAGTCGGTTGTACATCTCTGCCTTGATCCCGGGGTCCTGGGATTAAGCCCTACATGGGGCTCCCTGCTCAGCTGGGAGCCTGCTTCTCCCTCTCCCTCTGTCCGTCCCCCCTGCTTGTGCTCAATCTCTCTCTCAAATAAAATCTTTGATAGAAAGGAGGAGGGAGGGAGGGAAAAAGGGAGGAAGGAAGGAAGGAAGAAAAACCATTCTGCTACCTCCTTCATATTTTGTCTCAATAAATAGTAAATTCTTTGAGGGCAGCTCATTCTCCAAGGAATAAGGTCCCTCACTTCTAGAAATCATCTATGGGAGCCCCAGCAGGAAGGAAGGGGAAAAAAGCACACAGGCTTAATTCAACAAGAGTAATACATGGATCTGCTGTCAATTTTTTTACATTTCACCATTTGCATAAATCTAGGGTCAGAAAAAAACATACATTCCATTTGTATGGATTTTTCTTGGTTTACAATAATTTTATTGGCAGGGTGCCTGGGTGGCAGTCATTAAGCATCTGCCTTTGGCTCAGGTCATGATCCCAGGCACCTGGGATCAAGTCCCACAACAGGCTCCCTGTCAGGCAGGAAGCTTGCTTCTCCCTCTTGCACTCCCCCTGCTTGTGTTTCCTCTCTCACTGTGTCTCTCTCTGTCAAATAAATAAAATCTTTTTTAAATAATAATAATAATTTTATTGGCATTTTCCCAGCATCCTTAAAATGTCTTACTTTAGAAGCAACAAAGTCCTATATTTCCACTCGCCAAATCAGGTAGTAAACACATCATATTCACTCTAAATGTAAAATCTTACTCTATTTTAACTTATATTTAAATTAGTTACTTAAAATAACCATTCCTTTCATTTCCTTTTTCTTTGTTGAAATCCTACCAACTCCATCAACAGATTTCCGCATTTCATGTACAGTTAAACATACCTGGAATTAGTTTCTCCTCAAAATATTCCACAAAATTCTGAATTCATACACATGCAAAACAATCCCATGCCCTAAAATTCACCCACAAATACCTAAATACAATGCTCACCTGACCTCTAGCTCAGATGTAATGCCCCATCCATCCAGGTAAAGTATAAGAACTGTACTTATCAAGCGTAATTTGGGAGACAGTAAGAAAGAATAGTGAGTAGCTTCCAGCAATTCAGCCAAGAGGGGAAGAATTATCCCCTCCACACCCAGAGCCTAGGCTCTAACAAGTTTTCAGCAACAGTCAAATAAAATTCTCAGAACAGTCCTGACTTTTCAATGGACTCTGTCTTAATTAAGTAGTCTGAGTGACAGTGCAAAAATTAATTTGAAGCTACCTTTCCTCTTCTTTACTCTGAAAAGCTGAATATTGTCTGTCTTGACTATTAAAATCCCCAGAGATTTCAGTTCTGCAGGAGCTCTACATGGTTCTAAATTTAGACAAGTAATGGAAATAGTTGGAAGGCAGGCAATTCATTTTAATATCTGAACTTTTATGTTGCCAGGCAGCTAATTTCTTAAGTAACCTTAGAGCAGTCACCCACATAAGAGAATAAATATATAAGCCATATAATCACTGATAGGCCAGTAATGGTGTTAATTAAAACATCATCTATAACTTCTGGAAATGACCAACACCCACCTCCCCCAAAAAACAGGCTGTATTTCCTCCACAAGGGAAACAGGATTTTAAATATTTCAACAGAACATGTTAATGGCACATCATCACTTTCCTTACAGTTTATTTATGTTTCCACACCAAGGGAACATATAGATAGGTTTAATCGGTTTAATCTTTAACATAAAATGTTTTTGTGGAAGGAAGTGACATATCTTGTTTCACGTAGAGTCCTAGAGCAGGATGTTCTTAAGCTCCTGGACCATAAGCAATTGGGGCATACCAGATCCCAATTCTAAGCCTAACTATTTTGGATTCTCTAAAACATTAGACCTCGTAAGGACCCTAACCATGTCAGTTTTCCTAGATTGTACTCAAAGTCCAATATACAGGTGAATGCAAGTTCAAGTTCAAAGCACTAAGTATGAAAGACCTGGTTTGGAGTTCCCCTATCCAAAGACATTTTAATTCAGACAGCAGAAGATAGAACAAGGGAAACAACTCTTTAAGTGGCTGTACTACAGGAAGAAAAGATCTGGATTACATGAAAGTAAGGATATGAAAACTTACTTTCACCTTCACACCAAGTTAGGAAAAAAAAAATCAATACAATGCCAATTTTCTGCACAATACTTTGCCTCTCATAGCAAGTCATCAGAGTTGCCTCTAACAGACTTCATTCTGAGAAATAATTCCGTTTAGACACTTTTTTATCAGGTAAATCTGAGAAGACACAGAAGGGTCTCAGATCTGGAATTCACTCTGTTTTTGTTTTTTTTTTTTTAAACTGGAAATAACTAGTATCATAAAGATAGCAAAGGATAATTAAGAAAAGAGGTGGTTCTCCTTTAAAGGAATCATTTGCCACTAAAGAAATCAGGTTTCCTTGTAGAAATGATTGCTTCCAGGTCTGAAGCAAGTAAAGTACAAAGTGAGCCCAAAATACCTTGTAGTGGCACAGTGTAAGGAAGTGTTCAAGGCCTCACTGGGTCATGTCAAAAGGACATAGTAGTCAGTTTGCTGGAGCTCCCACTGACCAAATTTACAACTGCTATTTTTTTATGTTTATTTATTTTAGTAACCTCTACAACCAATGTAGGGCTCAAACTCACAACCCCAAGAGTCACTCACCCTTCTGACCACGCCAGTCAGGTGCCTCACTGTATTTTTAATACTGAATATTGTCAGTATTTTTGACAGCAGTGAATTTTAACATACTGATTT